GTCTCAACTCTCTTTTGTTTAATTATAAATACAGCAGCAAAATCTTTTAAACATTAATTTGCTCATCTAAAGACTTGAGAACCAAGAAAAAGTTCTGTCATTCACCAACACACATATTCTCCAGTTCAGGCACTCTGCCTCTCCAACCAGATGAACTACCTTTCCCCACATTAACTTGAAATCTACTCTGCAAATTTTTACACACACACACACACACACACACACACACACACACACACACACACACACACACACAAATAATCAAGTCTACAATGTCTCCAAACAATGTGAGAACCTCTACTATATGATTGTCTTTTAGACTCTAGTTCTCAAAAGTCTCAGATGAGTAACTCTGGCTGTTCTAATTTACAGACTATTCACTTTTTTTTTTCCTTTCTATTCTAACACAGGCCTGGGGAGAGCTGAAGGGAGCCGCACTGCCAACCAGTAAGAACTCTTGTCTTCCATGCTTATACTGCACAAGACCTCAGACAAACAGAGGCATTCCATTTCACATAATGGACTGTTATACAGCTGGAGGATGGGGAGAGCATTGCCTTTCCGAGGCTCAGAGTTCAGTCCCTCATGAGCCAAAAAAAAAAAAAAAAAAAAGCAGCAGCAGCATTCAACTTAAAAACTGAAGTACAACTTGTTTAATATATACTTTGGCTGCTGATAAGCATGAGACTAGAGTTGAGTCTGCTATGGATTCATATTACTCTGAGATATGTAAGTACAAAGTGACTGAACTTCCTTCATGTTTTTTCATGCACATCTTACATGTAGGAATTAAATTCTTTGGTTAATAACTGAAGCTAAAGAACCAAATAAGTACACTTGTTGGTTCAGAAGTTTTTGGCCTAGACTAAACTCAGCCTAAGGTCACTGAATTAGAAATTTTGAGTCAGAAAATGACCTTCCTTGGGGCCTCCCTGGTGGCGCAAGGGGTTAAAGCACAGCACTATGAAGCAATCCGAAGCCTCTGCAACACGAGTTTGATCCCCCGCTGGTCAGGGAGCAACCCACATGTCACAGCAGATCTCTCCTGTCTGGCCCGCTGCTCCCCTCAGTAGTGTATTTCGGTCAGTCTGCCTGTTCTGTTCACCTCTCTCTCTGGTGAATCCTCTCCCCAATCTCTGGCCTATACCCCAGCTCTTGTATGCATAAATCAATCTTTAAAAAAAGAAAATGACCTTCCTTCCCCATACCTATGCACAGAGTTCTATTCATTTCTCCCCAAAAAGGAATCAGATTTAAACTCAGAGCTCCCCCGAAATACTCTTAATTTATCACAGTTCACTCCAAGCAGATTATTTTCCTTTCTTCCTGCTTTCTGTGTTTCTAGATCCTTCCAATGGCTTTCAGGTAATTCTGCCCCAGTGAACTAACCACAGTAAGCTCAAACAGGCAGAGAGGAAGAGCAAAGCGTGAACAATATTTCAGACCATCATCATTAAGTTCCCCTCTGGTGCTTTTGTTACATCAGCATACTTTCCTAAAGCTGATAAGAATGTTGTGCAGGAAAAGACAAAAAAAAAAAAAAAAAAAAAGAGAGAGAGAGAAAGAAGGAAAAAAAATAGCTAAATGAGGTTATGATGTTCTGCTGATTTCTTGGAACACAACTCTCCCAGAAGTTCAGAACTTACAAAGGTAGAAAGAATCACATTAGCCAGCATTCCAGAGCTAGGAAGGGAGGGAGAGTCCCAAACCTCCCTTCTCAGTGAAATAAACATTTTAAGGTGGTGGAGGGAACACTGGAACAGGTACCAGGGCACTAAATTTGAGGCTACCCACTGACATTAATAACTAGCCACACCATACTAACAAGTTACTTAATTTCTTTGGGTCTCACTTCCTCTCATTTATAAAATGAAAGCATTAAGTCCCCTCAAGCTAACCACAATGTTATAAAAGTGACATCAACTGTAGTAAATTTACCTTCCACTGAAGTCAGATGTAGCCTCTCAAGGAAGAAGCAAATATCATTCCCACTCTTCCAATAGAGAGATAAAACAAAATAAAATACAAGGGCACTTTAATTTTTGATTTGAATTTAGTTAACAAAAATTTTCCTCATCCATAATTAGAAAAAGCAATATAAGGAATCTAAGAGGTTATTATCAAGTATATCTTCATTTCCTCTCATTTCCCAAATCACAAGACGGCAATTTTGAAAAACGTTTCAAGGGTAAACTATATTCTCTCATCCCCAATGAATAAAGGACTCTCAAGGAAAGCGAAATGGTAAGTTGACTACTATGTGAATGTCCCTCCCTGCCCAGTATGATCACTTAGTGCATTCAGCACATGAACTGTTTTCCTGAAATGCTCTAACATGTGTCCAGTAGGTTCTAGAGTTTGAGAAAGGAAATGTTAATCCCACCCCTTCCCATTAAATAGAGACTTGACACACAAACCTACTATAATTTTTCTAAATGTTTTCAAGTCTGAAATACATGAGTTATCATCTGACCCTATACAAAGTTTTTTGTTCACCAACTAAGAAGTGTATCCACCCCAACTCCCCATCAAGATTTTAAGACTGTTTCCTAATTTTGTATGTGATCGCTTTTGTGCAAAGCATTGCACTGGGCCCTCAAGACTCACTTAAGATCCCTCACCACATTAACTCAGGTGGCTGGAGGTATCCAAGTAGCAACCTTCTTACCTTGGTTTGAAGAAATAAAATTACAAGTGGGGGTGACGGGGATGCAAGACAGATGAACAAGTCATTAGAGGGTGAAAAATTTCCGATGGGGGAATAAAAGTAAATCAATCAGCACTAACATCTAAATAGCACTAAGTAACTGCAATATAAATTAGGGATTACATTCAATTGCAACAATACTATATATCCTATAAACACTTTATGTAAGTCTTCCTATGAAAAATGAAAAGATTACAATGTACTCTACCAATAAATACAGGTTCACTACATTTGGCCAGCTAAGATGACAATTATTTAAATCTGAAACAAAAAACTTTGTATGTGTAGAACTATCTGAAGAAAGCAGTGGTGACTGGGTATGCTGGGAGAAGGGGTAAATAATCAGTATTTCTGGCAGAATCTTTCCAAGCATTTTAGGAACTAATCCAGACTATGAGACAAGTTCTATCTTTAAAGCAATGTTTAAAGGCATGGTAGCCTGGCTATTTGAAATATGCCAAAAGGATGTTCCTCTGTGGTTCTTTCCTCAGGGTCTTCATGGTTAATATATAGGCAAAAATCTAGTTCCTTCCCCAAATAAAATTATAGTGGAGTGCAGTTGTTACCATGACATATGTTCTAAAACTCAGGGAAGCACAATCTTTTACTCACCAATACCAACAACAATTCTGGAAAAAGTTATATATGCCTTGCGCCTTGGAAATCAATATCCATTTCTACTATCAATTCAAGTTCAAGACAGCTCTACTGTGGAGCAGGTTCTGGTCTGCGAAAAATCTTTCAGAATTAAAAAACAAGATCTCAGTACACTCAGGGGCTGGCCTTGAACAGATCAGATCAGGAAGGAGGTTTCTCCAATGAGGTAAGCTATCTCATGAGAAACGTCACTGTTTCGCAAAGTTAAAAATTCTTTAAGCCAGTTGTCCATAAATATTAACTTCTCCTGACTGGGTTACACTAAAGTCTTCCAAGGCAGCCATTCCTGCCCTAGAGTAGCCTGGCTGGATTCCTCTGTAGTGTTCTCTCCTAGATTTTTATCCCTTGTTGGCAAGAAGGTCTTGTAACCCTTCAAGCCCTGCTATTTATTGTGCAACCGACTCAAGGATCGCCCAGGCCTAACTGCACCCAGTTGGTTGTAGCATAACTGGTGAGCACAGCCCTTAGGAAAGAAGGAAGCCAGCAATCTTGTAGACAGTAGGCAGGGGCTGTCAGCAAAGTCCCAAGCCTCTGGGGCTTTCAGAAGGCACCCCATCACTAAAAGAAGGCAAAAATCTTAAGTTAAAAACGAAGCACCATTCCCTTTTAACAAAAGTCCCTCAAAATCATTCTCCACTCTCCTCCCTCTGGAGAACTGCCCAGATAGGGGGCAGACAACCTTTGAGCTCCCTTTTCCTATGACCAATTCAGCAGGCTTCACCTCTACCCCAGTGTTCTTGCTCAATAAACAGTTCCTAGTGGGATTTCCATAAGCAATGCCCACTAGCTTCCCTCTGCTCTGCCTCTCTCTAGAAGGCATCTCCCCAGAATCAAGCCATCCCACCAAGCTGCACTCCTTGACAATGCCCTTTTCAATCTACCTCCAAACGAGTCGCCGCCAAAGCGCTGCTCTTAAGGCTGCCAACGCTCGACCACCCCCTCCTCGACCATTACTTGAGTATTATTTGATCACTAGTGCTGTCCTTCAGTCTGGGGACTCCCCTCCTCCCCGTGGGGCCTCGTCCAGCACAGTAAACAATGCTGTCAAAGCAGGATAACGCTGGGCGAGGCTTCCAAACTCCGCATTCCAGCCTCCTCCTGGTGTTCTAAAAGCAGCAAAACAAGTCATCGCAGGGTCCCAGGAGCGAATTACTCTCTCAACTTCCTTTCTAAAAATTTTTAGGCCCGGGAGACGACACCCCGTATTCGTGTGCACAAACGCACGATCTGCAAAAGGCAGAGGCAATACCGAGCGCGTGCCGGCCAAGGACAGACGGACTCGCCCAGGAGGAGCGGGCGGGGAGCTACGAGTGGAAGCTCAGCCTGCCACGAAGGGAACAAGGGCTTTCTCTTCGCGCGCGCCAGCAGTCCCGCTCCCGGAGTGGGCGCGCGCCGCGCCGGGTTCTGGGCAAGGGAGAAGGCGAAGCGACGCTCGCCGAGAGGCTCCCCGGGGCTCCGGTGGGGCAGGGCAGCTGGGGGAACCGGGCAGCCGAAGCGGCCCGGCGTGGACACGCCCCGAGTCAGAGGACCGCGGCGGGGCGCGCGGGCCGGCGCGCGGCCGGCTGCAGGAGCCGAGGGCGAGGGCCGCGCGGGGCCGGGGCCGGGGCCGGGGCCGCGCGGGGCGGCCAGCGCTCACCTCCCGGCGTGGTGGAGAAGAGCGTCCCCCCGGGCGTGGTGCAATAGTCATGAGGTAGCTGCGCGGCGTCGCTGATGGGCACGGTGCGGGTGGGGATGGCGCGGCTCTGGCTGGGCTGGTGGCCGCTGCCGGCGGACGAGGACATGGCTGTGGCGCGGGTTCGAGGCTTTGTCCGGCGGGCGGGCGGGCGGCGGCGGCGGCCGCGGCGGCTGGGGGCCCGGGCTGCTCCGGCTCCTCAGGCGGGCGGAAGGGCGGGCGGGGCTGGACGCTCCGCTCGCTCCTCGCTCGCTCCCTCTCGCTCCCTCGTCCCGCTCCGCTCCCGCCGCCGCCCTCTCAGCCGCCGCCGCCGCCGCCGCCCGATCCTCCGGCCTCCGCCAGCAGCCTCAGCAGCAGCAGCAGCGGCAGCAGCGGCGACGCGACGACCGGAAGCGGGCGCGGGCGGGAGCCAGAGGGAGTTCGGGGAAGCGGGGCCGCCGGAGGTGACGTCGCCTGGGGCGTGGAGGCGAGGTGAGGGGGCGTGGCCTAAGCGGCGAGGGGCGGGGCTTGGGCTGGCAGGGACTCGACCCCGCCCCGTGCCGGAAGCTGACCGAGGGGTGTTTGCGCCAAGTGTGCCTGAGCTGCTTGGCGGCCAGAATGGAAAACTTATCTGACTTAAAAAGAAGGAAACTCTGTGTTAACACTACTTTACTCGAGTCGACTTTTGTGCCTGTCCGTCTAAAATAAAGTGTAATGTTCCGTTTAGTTGCTTATAATTAACTATAGGCAATGTATGCACGATGTGTTAAAAAAATTGGACAGAAAAATTTAGGGTGTCACTTTCTTCCACTTCCCCAATTCCTGCTGCCAGAGGGTATGGTATGGTATGGTAGCAATGCAACGCGTATCCTTATAAGAGTTTTATAGCTTTAGCTCTTGCATTTAAGTTATTGCTCCATTTTGAGTTAATTTTTTTTAATATGGCACGAGGTAAGGATCCAAATTCAATCGTCTACAAGAGGATATTCAGTTGACCTGACACCACTGATTGAAAAGGCTATTCTTATTTTTTTTTAAGATTTATTTTATTTATGCATACAAGAGCTGGGGTACAGACCAGAGGTGTGGGGGTGAGAGGATTCACCAGAGACAGAGCAGGGAACAGAACAGGCAGAGTGATGAAATACACTGCTGAGGGGAGTAGCAGGCCAGACAGGAGAGGTCTGCTTCACCATGTGGGTTGCTCTCTGGCCGCAGGGGGTGGGGTGGGGGGGCTCGACCTGGTGCTGCAAAGGCTGCGATTTCTTCACATCTACACTACATGGTATGGCCTGTGGGTCACCATTGTATATGTGCACTGTCATTGACCACAACATCTTAAACCACTCTTGACTATATTTACAAAAGCAGGTGGCGGACTTGATTTGTCTTTCCATGGCAGATCCCCCATCTTTGCTGGTACTGACCAGCAACTCATCAGTTAACGACCCCCCACTGTGTGTAAGAATCTTCTGAGGGAGGAGATATGGCAGTAAACAAGACAGCCCAGTAGACTCTACATTCTAAACTAGAATTTAATATTCTAGTTGGGGTGTCCTTCCTGGACTTCCATCTCACCAGCCAGGTTGTGCACCCTCCCTCTCAGCTCTCACAGTGCCCTGTGCTCTGTGGTCACTAATACCTATCTTATGGGTGCACTTTGTCTGCTCATGTCCCTAGTTCCCTGCAGGACCACAGCTCTTCCAGGTTGAAGACTGGCACACTTCATCTTGGCTCCCGTGGGGCCTGGCACAGACCCAGTCTGTGGTCCAAGTCTGTTGAGATGATTCTAGGATGCCTTTGTGGAGGCTGAGATAAAAACATTAGACACAGTTGCGGGCAGAGAAGTCTGGGGTGACCAGATGTCTATTCAGATGATAATTTTTTTATCAGCTTTCATGCACTACTTTCGAGTGTGCATGTCAATGAATTTTCACAAATGTTTATATTCTTGTAAACACCACCACAAGTAAGATATATCAATAGAACATTTCATCACCCCCAAAAGTTCCCTTGTACCACTTGGCAGTCAGCACCCTCAACTCTAGTGCCAGTTCCAGGCAATTACTGACCTGCTTTCTAGCACTGCACATTAGCTCTGCCTCTTCTAAAACTATACACATGGAATCACACTATGTGTCCTGTTTTATGTCTGGCTTCATGCAGCATGATGTGGTGCTTGTGGTGCTTGTGGCAGGAGTCCATTCATTTTTATGACTGAGTAGCATTCCATTTATGGATGTACCACAATCTGTTTATCAAATGAAAATTTTAAAGAAAAAGATCTCTTTGCTTCATCCCCACAAAACTTACCATAGGGGACTCAGAGGGGCTCACATAGCCTCAGATGTGGGATTATCTCTGAATAAGGTTGTGTAGAGAGTTGGGGATTGGGAAGCTGCTGATGTAATTGCAATTCTACAGACACAGTACCCCTAGATTCAAAACCGATGTACTGCAAAATCTACCATACCTGGGCGGACCTTTCTTTGATATTTATTAATGTAACAGGAATCTCATAAAGTAGAAGTAGCCTGGGTGTCCCCAGTCCAGAAGTGTCCTTCCTATAGTGTATTATTCCAGGGTCTAGTCACCTGGCTTCCCAAAACTCACTCCTTTTAACTCCCCTGCATACACCTGATACCTGTGTTCCCTCTGGTTCTTTTTCCCAGGGGCAGAGAGAGGCTGGTCCCACCCTCAGTAACGAAGCTACCCACTTAGATCTGTATCATCATAAGCATAATCACCATAAGCATAATCACCTTTTGCATCAAACTTTTCCACTTTACAAAGCACTTTTAGGCTATTATGTCTTTTAAGCTGAGCTGCTTATTAGTCTCATTTCACAGATAAAGAAAAGGAGGCTCAAAGAGGGCATGGTATGACTTCTCTGAGGTCACATAGCCAAGACCCGTGGAACAGGGACTAGTGCTCAAGCTGCTGATGGGCCACCCTCCATGCTCCCCACCTCTGCTGGCCTCTTGCACTCTAAAGAGGGCAAGGTGCCCCTTGAGCAGCCACTCTTTATCTTCACATCTGCTGAACTCCCTGGAGATGAGCAGCATCCATTTCCCAAGTTCCTGAAACATAAAAGAGGAAATGTGTTTAGAAGGTGATAACAATAACAGATAACTTTCATAGGCTGAGTCAGGTGCTGTATGAGGCCTTATCTCTAATATTCCCAACTGCCATACAAGGTGGGGATTATTATGGCCACATTACAGATGAGGAAGCAGCCCTAGAGACACTAGCTGGCCTAAGGTTACCTATTGTATCTCTAGAATTTCTCTGGTTTCCCGTGGTTGGGAACAGTTCACTGTGCACAGGTATTGACATCAGACATGTTTTGGTTCAAATGCTGGCTCCCCCACCCACTGCTATATGACCATGAGCTCTGAAGCTGTTCAGAAAACCTGGACAGTGGGAGGAGGAAGCCCTCATTCACAGAGTGCTCTCCTAAGGATAAAATGTCAGACCCAGCCAAGGTATAGCCAATTGAATAATTATTAAGCACCCATCCGACCCAAGAAGATTCCAGCAGCCAATAAGGCTGGGAGAAGAGGGGCAAGCAAGTGTGACTGTGAGGCATTCCAGAGGGGCCAGAGCTCCAGGCTCAGCATTTCCTCCCTTGGAGGTCTTGTTGAGTGATGCCAACAAAAGTCTGTAGTTGCAGACTTCAGAAAATGAGGTGTGGTTCAGGCCTGATAAAGACCTCTCTTGAAGTCAGCTCATTACCTGTCATATCACAGCCCAACACCTGTCCTTCTTGTCTTTCACCCTCTCCATGCCAATATTTAGTAGAAGACTCCTCCTGGGTGCAATCCTTTCTCTATTAGACCTGGCCTGCAGGGGGAAGTGGACAGTGTACTTAACACCACGCCCACCAGTGCAAGTGCTGGCTCCAACAGCTTGAACTCCTACCAGAGAGAGCACTTTTGAAATGGAAATGTACTGTCATGAGCAGTGAAGGGTGTGCCACGCCCTGTACTCGCCACAGCCCAAAGGCAAGGCACACCCTGTACATAGCCTGGAAGCCAACGACAGTGGTATAAAATTAAGGCAAAAGGTGCTCTGCCATGGGGAGCTTCTGCTTTCTTTTGGTGGAGTCCAGGGTTTTCAGTGGGAATCTTTTTATGATGACTTGGTGGGTACTGTTGCATAGAGTATGGATGATTCTGACTCAGTTACTGGAAATTCTCCATGGCTTCTATAACCTGGCTTCCACATCTCATTCAGAAATAGCCATTCAGCCTCTTGCATGGCCCCAGCTCTGTGTTCAGAGGGGAACAAGAACAGCCTTCTTGGAGCTTCCATCTAGCCATGGGGATGGCTGAATCTAGGTTTTCTGGTTGGATATGTATGAGTTTACTCATCTGCCTACGGTGAATTAGCCTCAGAAGCCCTGGGAGAGCAATGGGCTCGCAGTGTATCTTGGATTGCATCTCCACCTTCTCTTCCTTGGCTTTCCATTACTCTTTGAGTCTTGAAGAACACCAACTATGATCTAACCTCACCTCCCTCTCAGTTTCTGTGCTGTTGTTCCTCATCCCCTCCCACCACAGGATCTTTGCACATGCTACTCCACTTGCCTAGTAGTTCTCTGTGGAGAACAGTCATTAAGGTGACATTCATGATCCTTAGCTCCTTGAAGGTGGATGCGACCTGTGACCTGCTGCTAATCAAAGGAATTTGGGGAGCACTGCCATTGGTTCCCAGGCTCTGTACAGTGTCACTCCAGTGTGATGTTATATAAGGCTCCATCTTGCTAAGAGACTCACTCTAGAACTCCCCACCTCTCTGTCTTTTGCTGGTTTTGCATAAATAAGCAGCCATGAGTCCTACCATGAGGAAACGAATCCTGCCAATAACCTGAGTGAGTCTGGAAATGGGCAACCCATCCCCAGTCAAGCCTCCATGTGAGAACGCAGCCCTGCCTTACACCTTAATTGCAACCTTGTAGTGGATCCAGCTCAACATGCAAGGACTCCTGACTCACAGAAACTATGAAACAACAACTTTGTATAAGTATTTTCTTTTTATAGCCAAAAGGGCAGACTTTTTTGAAAGGGAGAGAAGAGTAAAGGACGCTGGCTGACACACTGCAGGGAGAAAGATCTGCCCCTGAAAGGGACAGGTTTGTTAAAAAAAGATGCTTGCATAGTCACAGGCGGGCAGCCTTGGGAGGAGAGCTCCTGCTGCTGCATTGCAAAGAGAGAGGGTCAGTGATGAGAAACACCTGCATAGTCACAGGTAGGCAGGAGTGTGGCTGCCTTGGAAGGATTTTCTATATGCAGCACAGAAAACCAATATATTTCCTAATATTCATCTAGTTGGCTCCTACTCATCCCTTATAATTCCCATACCACTCAGATGAATTTTCTCAGGGCAGACTTCCCTAGCATCTCTGCCAAACCCTGATCTCCCTGTTAAGGATCTCATGCCACTCTGTGCCTCTCTTCCACAGGACCTGTACAGTAATAATTGTGTGATTATTTAATTAATATCTGCGCTCCGCTAGACATATGTTCTATGATAGCATCCAATCATGTTTTCTTTTCCTCAAGGACAGTGCCCTACACATGTAAGTACTCAGTAAATATCTGATGAATAAATAGTTTGCAGAAGCGTCAGGCTTAGGAGGAGTGCAGAGATAAACAGGGATTGTTCAGTAGTTGGAGGCTAAAATGACATGGGGGATATTGGGTAATGTAGTCCTAAAAACCCACTTTTATTGCAGCATATCTGTACTAAAGCTAAAGTTGTATTTTGGGACACCATGACGGGCATGCTATATGTCCATTCAGTAGTTAAAGAGGCATAATGAATGGTCTTTTCTGCTTCTTAAATATTTACATTCATCTACTTGTTTCTAAGGTCTTTTTATTCCAGCCTCACATGGAAAGCCTAAAAGACTATGATATTTCTGGGTCTCTACCTGCAATTTTTTTTAAGCAGGAAAAGGAAAAGGAGTGAGGAAATGATTTTTGCTCTTTCTAAAGCTGCACACGAGGAGTAGTTTGATTCTGGAGTTGTGGGGTTTAGTGGGTTGTTAATGAGCTCTCTTATCAGTAGAGGCAGTCATATAGAGTATCCTCCATAGAGAGAATAGTCTGCTACTCTGGGTGTGAGGTGGGGCTACTCAAAGGTGGTATATTGGTGACCACATCTAGCTCACAGAGGCATTTTATTTGGCTTACATATTGCTCAAAATTCTTTAATGAGTTGCCAACATTAAAAATCCCAGAGACTTCAATATAGAAAAAAGTCTAGATTTTCTGAATAATCAGATTTGGCAATAACTGATAGCACAGCATTAAGACTGGAACTTGATTTATAGGTGCCCTCTTAGGTGGCACAGTCTGCACAGCCTTCAGCTGCCTGCATCATGCTGTGCCTGGACCCCAGGAGCACCTGAGTCCACTCTACCCAGTGCGCTAAGACCACATGTTCCTAAGTATTCATCCAACCTGTCATTTGAGGTTCTGATCATATGCTGCATAATGATGTTTCAGTGTGCAATGGATGGCACATAAGACATATTTATATAGCCTACATGTGGAATAGCCAATTCCACCTAGGTGGGTAGAAGTACACAATATGAGGTGCACACAGACAATGAAATCGCCTAATGACACATTTCTCACCACATATCCCTGTCGTTAAGTGCTGCTTGACTATATGGATCTAGCAATTATTTTATTCAGGCAAAATTCCCTTGGGATTTCCTCTAGGTTTCCCCCATCTGACTGATCCTCATAAACTCACCTTCCCTTGTCTCCTCAGTAAGAGATGTGTTCGTGACTGCATGTGCTCTGTGCCTCTCCCATTTCCCTTTCCTGTCTATCCCAGTCACCTTCCTGTTCCTAGCACTTCTCTGACTCAGGCCTTTAGCCCTCTCCAAGGCCCATTCCATTCCAATATTATTTCTTCAATATTGTTCTCAGGCTTGGCAGCTAAGAGTATGTGTGTCTGTCTTAGCAGTGCTCTGGAAGTTTGCATGCTTCTAGAATAAACTATGAGAAGAGAGATGAGTGGTTGTTCTTATATAAGGCTCTAAAAACCCCCCAACAGATGCAGATAAACTAAGACAGTCCGGGGAGATGCCGGCCCAGTTCGGGATGCTTCCAGATGTGTGAAATAAAAGAGTTCCCTCAAAGTTTGAGACAAAGTCACATATGCAGTCTTCCCAAGGGCATGTGAGGGCAGGGATATCATGGCTTGAAGGCATTGTTTAAGGCTGGGTGAAACTCTCGCCCTGCAACCTCCACCTCCTTTTCCCGCTTATTCCCAGGGATACCTAGGGAATTGACAACCCTTGTGGATGAAGTCAGATAGACAGGATTTGAATCCTGATACTGCCATGTATAAGTCATGTGGCTCTGGGCAAGTCATTTAGTCTATATGCTCCATGTTCACATGCCTAAAATGGGGATAACATGAGCACAGTAGTGAGCTCACAGGGTGGTCTTCTGCAGTGAGAAATTGCATGTAAATTGTGGATCACAGCCTGACACAAGGTGATTGAACAAGAGGTAGGTGATGACAATGTTATTGACACCCCACATGACTATCTCACACTCATCTCAAATACAATATTAGACATGCTGAACTCTCTGTCATCCCTATCGCCAAACCTGTTTCTCTCTGTGGCTCGATCATGGCACCACCCAGGAAAGGTTCAAGCCAGAAGCTAGGGTGTTAAACTTGACACCTCTCTTTCAGTGTCCAAATTCAATCCATCGGCATGTCCTGGTGATTCGCCTCCAAACTGTCCTATGTCCTTCTGTCTCTGGTCACCATCATCTTTCCTCCGGGAGACTGGCTGAGCCTCCTATCTATACTTCCCAAGCTATTCTTGGCTCCCTTCAATCCTCCACATTGCAGTCAGAGGGATCTTAAAATACAAGTTAGATCTTGTCATTCCCTGTTGAGAACCTTTCATACTTTCAATTGCATTTAGATCATAAGATTACCCTGCTCACTCTACTGCTCTCGTCCTACATCCTCTCTCCACCACACACCAACCTCATAGAGCTTCTGTTGGCTCACTGAAAACACCAGCTCTTTGCATTCTAGGGCCTCTGTGTGTGCTGGCATCTGCCTGGCGCACTCTCCCCACTCTCTTGTCCTGGTCTTGGTCACTCATACTCTTTGTTCAGGCCTCAACCCTAATGTGATTTCCATGAAGAGGCCTTCCTGTTACTCTCTCTCCCTGTTCTTTCCCCCAAGGCCCTTTACATAAACTTTGATAAGGATGTATTTGTATGTTCTTTTACCGTCTGCCTCTAGTGTACCAAATTAAACACTCCAGGAAAGCAGGAATCTTATTTCTCTTGCTAAACATTGAATCCATAATACCTAGCACAGTACCTGGGGCAAAGTGCACAAATAAAATTAAAAAATTTAAATTGATGAAAGAATTAGGTCATTAACAGAACAAAACATTTCTGGATGTCAATACACGTACAATATAAACTCAGAGTAAGTGGTGTAAGAATTTGGTTCAGTGAGCACTTATGCTGGGTTGGTTTGACCTCATTAATCATCTTGGAGGGGCAGTAAGCACCCATCTATCCACCCACTTACCCATGAAGCCATTCACTTATCTATCCAACCATTCACTCGTCCATCTACCCACTTTTCCATGGCCCATTCATCATTTCATCTAATGTTCACTGAATATCTCTTATGCAGACTGATGCAAAATGCTGAAAAGTGAAAAGAACTTAGAGATCACTGAGTACAGTGGCTCAAAAGCATTTTGGATTTGGTTAAAGTCAAAATCTGAATAAAAAATCCAGGTATTTGAATTAAAAAAAAACACATTTATATCATGATCCTGGACATAACATTTGTGTAAAACAAAAGGTTTATTAAATAAGGTGTGAATTATTATGTGTGAATTTCTCTATTCTGTTCTATTCAGTAGAAATGTTGGTATTACCCAATATGGTTGGCAGCTTCTGCATGGCTCTCAAAGATCCAACCTCCTCCTATCCTCACGCTATGTGATCCTCTCCTTTGTGTGTGGGCTGGGCCTAGGGACTTGCTTCTTCTAATGAATGGGATGCAGTGAGATAGCACTTCCAGGATTAGGTTACAAAAGACGGTGTCTTCTCCCTTATAATGCTCTCTCTTGCCCTCTTGCTTGCATACTCAGATAAAGCCAGCTCCTACGCCTTGGGAGTCTTGATGGAAAGACCCACATGGCAAAGAACTGAGGGAGGCCTCTTGCCAAGTACTTGTGAGAACTTGGGGTGTCTTTAGTTGAATAGCCCGTGGGAACTGAATCCTGCCAGCAATGTTGTGAGAGAAGTAGGAAGAGATCCCCCTCCAGTCAAGCCTTGCAAGATGGTAAGAAACAGTGAGAGGCTCAGAACCAGAGGACCCAAACATGCCCTGTTTCCTGTCCCACAGAAACCATCACATCAAAAGTATTTTTAACCAGCAAGTTTTGGGTGATTTCTTATGCAGCAATAGATAAGTAATACAGCTACCTCATGTCTTCTCAACTTGCTAATCAGGAAACATCTATAATTTGAAAAAAACACCAATCTAGTTCTAGGTGCAAATCCTATGCTGGGCATAGGAGGGAGATTCATGGATGAATAAAAACCTGGTCATTGTCCTCCAGAAGCTCTAAAGATCTGAAAATTCAATAGGGTTATTTTTAGGACAGAGTGTTCCAAGACAGTAGAAGTTAATGAGAGGTTCGCTAAGACCAAATAGACCATTGGGATGAGTGGGGCAGTATCTGGAAACGGGGAGTCCTTACAAAGGAAAATGCAGCCTTCACAGAAGGGATTTCCCCAACCAGAAGGGGAATCTCTTCGCCAAAGGGATTTCCACACCAGAAAGGTTTGGAAGAGAAAGGAGAAGCCCATGAAGAACTCTGCTCAGGGAAGGATCAAAGATGCCACAAATCACGTCTGTATTTCCACTGTGGCTACAGCTTGTGGGTTGCTCACTAGACTTGGAGTTGGGGAGCTGGAGAGTGGAGGAAAGAGTGACAAGGGTTCTTGTGAAAATTACATGAGCAAACAAGCATAAAATGCTTAGAATAGCACTGATGCATACTGAGTGCTGTGTTGCTATTCTTGTTTTGTTATTGCCATAGGGTTCTGGTCCTGGCAGTGCTCATGAAAATCTTTCAGATTACCAAACCCGGTCCTTCCTCCCCTCCCTGCAGCATCAGGCCCTGCTGCCCAAATCCATACGAGTGACTCAAGCTTACCACTGGGTGGGGCTCAGATATAGCAAATATCAGGAAAGCGGTTTTGCAATGGTTGAAGCCTGAGCATGACTTTAGTATAGTCCTTTTGGGGATGAGTCTTATTTCTCATAGCAAGTTGCAAGCATCTTGAAGGTACTGATCCTCACTCATATTTGCAAACCCTGCAGGGGGCTCATGGTGGGTACCTCTCACAAGGCAGAGCCTTCTGGAGAAAGGATTAGGCGACTGCTCTTCTGCTCAGGATGGTAGTGGCTTGGAGTGACCTCAAGTTCCTGGCTGTTGATAACTCAGCTCTAAGCAGAAGAATGACCCCAGATGGAAAACTCAGGAGGCATAGGATGATGCATATGGTCTGGCTCACACAAGTCAATGGGACTTCATGTTCTGTTTCTACCCAAATATGCTTTCCCTAAAGAATGTGTGATAAGGATAAATATGAGTAGAGTGGAAAAGGAGAGACTGTATTTATTTGCTAAGGCTATTGAAGCAAGGGACCACAAAGTGGGAGTTTTAAGTTATTTCTAGTTTGGGGAATTTCATTATTCAGAAAAAAAAAAGAAAGAAAGCAATCACTGATGCATGCACTTACTGTATGAGCTCTGGTCTATTTGAAATCAAGTAGTCTTGGGAGAGGAAGCAAACACACTGGGAACAGAAGAGGTGGCACAGGAACAGGGAGGTATCTTGTCCATGTGAAATTGGAGGATCGAGGGTGAAATTCCTGGAAGAGGGGACAAAGTGAGGTAAGCTGTGAATGTGGGAAACCCCAGGCTGGAGCCACCTGTCAGTAATACTGAGCCCTTACCACCTGCACAGAAGCAATATATTGACTATCTTGGGTTTGCACATGGCCTAGTGGGAGAGAGAAGAATCCACCTGAGGAAGCTGGACAGAAATATAAGGCTGGTTTTGAGTGAAGCAGAAGCAAGAGTGTCTGCTTTGTTCAGAGTAATTAATAGGGATCTTGGTTTAGGCAGTATGAACTCAATCCATTTGTTATTTATATCTGGTACCTGGTATGTGCATGGCAGGGATGAGGCGATGAAGTTGGGAATAAGTCTCTGGCCCACCTGAGAAGGCACAAAGGGTCAGAAACCATGGTTGCCTAGGCAACCCCTTGAGAGCAGGTCTGTGTCTGATTCATCTGGTATCATGACCCCAAGACACAAGGCTTTGCATGGAGCAGACTTTCATTTTGGAAATGCTTCTCGTCCCTTTGGTTATATTTCCACTCACCTATTGTATGTTTCCTAGGTCTGTTGTAACAAATTGCCACAATTGAGTGGCTTAAAACATACTCCTCTCGGGCCCCCCTTGGTGGAGCCACGGTTGAGCGGGCTGGGCTGCGAGGCTGCCCGGCTGGTTCATTCCCTGACCTTTGGCAAGGGTCCCCCCCAAAAAAAGAAAAAAGGCAAAACAAAACATACTCCTCTCACAGTTCTGGAGGTTACAAGTCTGAAATCAAGGTGTGGGCAGAGGTGGTTCTTTTTTAGAGACTGAGGAAAAAAATTTGATCATAGCCTAGTCCTAGCTTCTGGTTCTTGCCCATAATCCTTGAGCTTCCTTGGCATTCTGAATGTGTCTCTCTTTCTGGGTCTTTTAGAAGAATACCAGTCACACCCAACTCCAGGTGCTTTTAACTGGCCTCTAGTTATCTTTACTAGGTATATCTGCAATGACTCTATTTCCAAATAAGATCACTTTCTGAGGTACTAAAGGTTCAGACAACAACCTTTTTCTTTTGGTGTGTGTATGTGGGGGGTGGGGTAGTGGTGGTGTCACAATTCAACCTATAAGATCTATCCAGACTCAGGGGGATGTGTTCCCCAGAGACAGAATTAATTAATGAGTGTTGTCCCTCCAGGACTCCCCCATCCGAGACATACTTCTGTTTATTAGAGCAGTCCATTTGTTAGGGGGAAAAGGATGTCCCAAAGCAAATTCCATATAGGCTTTGTGGACTCCACCCCCACCCCAGGTCAAAGCCAAAGACACTGGGAACTCCAAATCCCATCACCACCAAAGGGAAGGTGGCTGGGACCTGAGGGTGGGGTTAAGCAGCCAGGTGGATACAAAAGGCAGACACGTGGGCTTTGGGGATCCCCCATTTTGGCTCTCCGCCAGCTCGCAGCTCCGGCCAGCTCTGAGAGTGCCTTTGGGTTTCCAGGTCGTCGGATCAGGTAGGACGCATTAAAGACTTTATTTCCCTATTTTCTCCCTGAGTTGTACATTTTCCTTATTTCCTTTTCCCTTGTAAATAAACCTTTTATTAACCTTTTGTGTGTCTGTAGTGGAGTATTCATAAGTCCCTTTAAAGCGCGCGGGTGAGGACCCACAGCCAGGACCCCGTTTAATATCGGGGCTGCTCTATAACACATTCACTCGTTGATCATCCTCACTGCTTGAATCAGGGGCTTCCTCTCCCCGCCCCCCTTTGCCCCCATTGTGCCTAGTCAGGTGAGTAGCGTCAATCCTATAAATACGGGCCTTGAAAGCTGCTTCTTCCCCCTGAGCTATAGTTCTGGACACTGCACTAGAGATTTCAGGCATTAATCTTCATAGTCACTCTCCAATCTTATGGTGGTGAACACCGGGATTTAGAATTTAGAAAGGTGAATTAACTTGGTGTAGCCAGAATTCTCTCTAAAAACCTGAAGGGGGGCCTGACGGTATCACATGAAAATTTTCCAATTTCTCATTTCACGATTTTCAAAGCACCTCTGATCTGGGTAGTTCAACTTCACTCACTTTCTTTGTTTCTTTCCTTATTTTCTTTGTTTCTTTCTTTTTTTTTTTAGATTTATTTATTTATGCATACAAGAGCGGGGGTACAGGCCAGAGATGGGGGGCGGTGAGAGGATCAGAGACAGAGCAAGGAACAGAACAGGCAGACTGACTGAAATACACTGCTGAGGGGAGCAGCGGGCGAGACAGGAGAGGTCTGCTGCGCCATGCGGGTTTCTCCCTGACCGGGGATCGAACTCGTGCTTCAGAGGCTGCGGATTGCTTCATAGTGTGGTGCTCAACCCCTTGCGCCACCAGGGAGGCCCCAACTTCACTTTCCTAAGAAAAATAAATTTGGAACCTCGGTCTAATTGATCCTGGGAGCTGTTGCACGTTCCCGGCTCGATCTCCGCCTCTCCGGCGTTTTCCCTCCAGAAGCCACACACAAAGCGGACGCACCCAGCGCACGAGAGCGCGCGGGCCGCCTTTCCGCAGGCTCGGCTCCCGGGCGCACGGTGGCTGCGCGCGCTGCCTGTCCCCGCCCCGGCGCCGACGGTGGCGCGGCGATAGGCCGAGTGGCCGCGCGCGCACAGACCGCAGCTCCGCGCGCCCCTCCCCGCCGGCTCCGCAGCGCCGCTGTTGCATGGGGCGCCGCCGGCGGCCGAGGGAGCGTGACTGCGCTGCGCAGGGCGCTAGGAGGCATTGTCGCCGTAAGTGGAGCAGAAAGCGGCCTGGAACGGCCCCGGAAAGTAAACGTAGCCTGAGGCTAAGCCTGGAGGGGCTGGGGGAAAGGGAGAGAAGTGTCCCCCTTTTTTAAACGTACCTTCCCCTCCCCCCCCCGGTCCCCCGCTGGAAAGAGCAGCGGTCCCCCAGCTGTGGCTTCTGCAGTGCCTGGGGGCCGGGGGCCGCGCCGACTCTTGGTTGCAGACTGCATCTGGATTGGCTCGGGGGAGTGGGGGCGCGGTGCCAGGAAATAGGGAGCCTTGGCAAACGGTCCCGGGCGGGCCTTTATTCCCGCGGGAGGAGCCCCTACTGGGAGAAGCTGCCTTGTCTTTCGTCCCTGAAGTGACACTTTCGGGGCTTGCTTCCGCTCCAGGGAGCTGCAAGTGCCCGCCCCAGCGCGTGCTTCTCCGCCTCTGGGCAGCTCTCGAGTCCCTGGCGCTCTGCGATCGCCAGCAGAGATGATCTCCCCTCCGCCTGCTTTATTCTCCCCAGTCCCCGCCTGCCAGGCTAGCGGAGGGCCGGCGACGAGGAGCCATTGGCGAAGGGCGCTTGGGGGAGGGGGTGTAGATAGACCTCTGAGGTGTCCTCTTGCGCAAAGCGCTGGGACCCTGGCAAGACCCCTGCGCTCAGCTTTGGAAGGCGCGTGGCCCCCCAACAAGGCTCCAGCTCATCGGGCTCACGCCCAAACAGGCTTCTTCCTGTTGGGTGGGAAAGTGGGTCACTTGTGTTCTGGCCTCGAGTGGGCTTTCGTGGCTTCTTGTGATCGATCCAGCCCTCTGCCTCTCACCGACCCACAGGTTCCTCCGCGTGGTGTGGTCCAGAGGACCAGCCGGAGCCTGCTGCGGGGAGCTTGTTCTCATGGCTCAGGAGGCTCGAGTTGCCCTTCTGAGCGATTGCCAGGCTCTTAAGTTCCCAAATGACCACACCAGTAACTAAATATAGGAGCAGCTGGTGCTGCGGGGTGTCTCAGTAGCCCTTTTGCACACATATCGGGGCTTCAGATAAGGTAGAGTTCTCACTGGTAAGTTAGGCTGGAGCCTTACAGAGGGCTTCTGTCTGGGTTTAAGAGACATCCCTCCCCCAGTCTTGTATCCAGGCAAAACCAGGTGGTAAATACAGGAGGGCCAGATTGCCAGTTCTCACAAAGCAGGGCAACTTTCCCCCCTCTCTGGCATTCAGTTTATTATATCCTAGTTTACTCTCTGGACCTGTTTAATCACTTATTGGTAATGCCTTAGTTTACCTCAGTCCTCACCTATGCCCTGCTGTTGCACCCTCACCCACCTTATGCACTTTGCCCATCTGGCACCACTAAACTTTCGAATTTATGACTTCTCATTTAGACAGTGTCTTAGATTTATGTTAAATTTGAAATCCAAATGATGGCTGTGAGCTTCATTTGGGGGTACTGCTAATTATGTGTTATACAGTACAGGAGGAAATCACAGAACAGGTCAGCCCCTGTCCCAAGCAGCCTGCAGTCCAATTGAGGGCTATATATATATATATATATATATATATATTTAAAAGCTCATCAACAACCCAGTGGCTTATGCAAAGGTAGTAAGTGCTACTGAAACTCAGAGGGAGTAGAGAACCCTGAGGGCTGGGGCAATGAGGGAAGACTTCCTGAAGGTGGAGAGATGAACATTCTACTCATTCCTCAAAGATGAGTTCCACTGAATTGTTTGTTTGAAGTCACATGTGTATGAAGCTGGAGTTAGAAGTTGGCATTACGTCTGCACGTGTACTGCTTGCTCCTCTCTAGCTTTCACTGAGTACCTGCATGTCCTGGGCTCTGGACTAGACAAGAATAGATATTTTGTTCAGTCCTCTTGTGTACCCCATGAGGTAGGTATTCCTCAATCTCCTACTCAGACAAAGAAACTGGGACTCAGAATGGTTATGATTCTCTCCCAAGTCTTAACTAACAATGGCAGTTGGGTACGAGGTATGTCTGCAGTGTAGAGTCTTTTCCCACCACAGTGTCTCAGGCCTCCAGAGTCAGTCTCCTTGGTGGTGAGAGGCACACACATAATGAACTCTCCACTGACTCCCCCTAAGCAGATGGGTGGGCTTGGCCAGCCCCCAGTTGGCATTCCCTGCCCAGATTGTCCAATTGAGCAGATGTAGACTTTTCCTTGGTGTGTGTTGACAGTTCTCAGACAGACAGATGTGTGTGTGTATGTTTGTGTGTGTGTTTGTGTGTATGTATGCATTTCTCTCCACCCTTCACATTCCTCTGCTTTTGACCCACTGAGTTCGTTGGAGCTCCTCAAACAGTCTGTAAAACTGGGATTGGGAGCCAGGGACAAAGAGAGGCACTGACCTCAGCCTCAAAGTGCTTTGTCTCTGGGATGCTGCCACTGGGACTGAGTAGCTTTAAAATTTTTTTTTATTTATTTATTGATACATATAAGAACTGGGGTGTAGGCCAGAGGTGCAGGGGGTGAGAGGATTCACCAGAGACAGAGTGGGGAACAGAACAGGAGAATCAACTGAAATACACTGCTGAGGGGAGCAGCCGGCAAGACAGGAGAGGTCTGCTCTGCCATGTGGGTTAGCTCCCTGGCTGGGATCGAACACATGGCATAGTCACTGGCAATAGCTTGAGAGCACTGAGACTTTAACCCCTGCGCCACCGGGGAGGCCCTGTGGGTAGCTTTTGTTACACAGTGAGCTCTGGATGTAGAGGTGGGTTGACTGGACTATTGATGCTTACTCACTTTGACCTTGACCAGATGATTTAGTCCCTCTCTATGCCTCAGTTTCCTTCTCTAATAAACAGGGAGTTAGAGGTGTTTCTAGAGTCCCTGAACTCTTTCAATACCTAATAATTTCGATACCTAATAATTGTGTTCCTCAATCTTCTTTAAGCCTCTCTCCCCCAGTGATCCAATTTCCCTTCTCTTGTTTCCCTGCCTTGCTCTCCCTGTCCCCTGGGGTTCTGCAAATAAACTCAGATTCTGACCAAAAATCAGGTCTTCGGGCTAAAACTAACCTTCCCTGCATATAGATAGGTGGGGAGAGAATTTGTAGAGACCACCCACCTGCCAGATGGTGAGCTCTGACCAGGTAGGGCCTTTGTGTCTCCACTTCCTGGCACCAAGGAGGATCCTGACAGATGTGGGTGGGGTGAGCAGGGAGCTGGAGGAATTGTCTGAAGGGCTGTGGATAGAGCACCAGCACAGAGCCCGTGGGATGGAGGGACAAGTGTCTCTCCCTTGCAGCTGGCTCCGCTCCCCTCCTTGAAGCTCCACCTATTAAATGAATCACACACCAGTGCACACCTGAGCCTCACGCTCGCCTGGCCACTGCTGCAGGCCCTGGCCCCCAGTCCAGTGAGGTGACACATGTTGATCCTCCCAGGAAACTGTAGGGATGGGCTGCCTCCACTTTTGAAGGGCAGGTCAATCACTGTGGAGGCCAAGCTGGATGTGGCCTAGGCTCTGGGCCCCTCGTGAGGAGGTGAGTGGCCTGGGTCCCTCCCTGCTGGCTTTCGCAGTCTGGCTTCCTGGGGAGGGTGGACTCAGGGGTGGGTCCCTGGCCAGTGGGCGGGCATTTCACAGCCATGTGTCTTCCTCAGGCACAGGCCCTATGAGCAGCAGACCAGCCTGGTGGCTGGCGACAAGACCCGTGTGTCTGCATGCTGAAGAAGATGGGTGAAGCGGTGGCCAGAGTTGCCAGGAAGGTCAACGAGACGGTGGAGAGCGGCTCTGACACCCTGGGTGAGTGAGGGCAGGATTTTTCCAACTGTAAGGTGCCCTAGGAGTGGTTTATGAAATCGGTTTATGAATGACATAGGGAAAGAAGGTAAGAGACGGCATCAGTATGGAACTTTGTAGTTGTTAATTCATAGACACCAGGGCCCCGTGTAAAGTAGGTTTCTTCCTCTTCATCATGATCAAAGAGGTTTGTAAACAGAGTGAGGGGCCAACCCCCTTCCCCCAGCCTGTCTGCTTGCCCTTGGGTTGTCAGTGACTCTGAGTGTGTATGTGCCCCTTGACCAGGTGACAATAGTTGGCGTTGGCTGTGCAGCCCATGACCCAGGCCCGGGGCTTCAGGAAAGTCACCCTATTGAATCTTTACACTGTTCCAGATGGTGTTACCTGACAGGCACCACTAGTTTCGGCCTTCAAATGAGGAAGAAGTGGAGGGTTGAAGGCAAAATGGACTTTTCCCACATCACTCCACTGTTTTACTTGAATTGTGTCAGATAATGTTGGCTTTGAATTGGCCATAGCATGTTAACCCATGAAGTTAGCCCCAAGACTGCAAGCATTTAAGCAAACCATCCCAATTCATTAAACTCAGTAGATGTTTATGGACTGTCTACTTCATGCAAAGGTTAAGAGGAGATGCAGTGCAATGATCGTGCGCATGCGGCCCACTGGAATATAGTATCCCTTAGCCACAGGCACATGTGTAAACTCAGAGACAGAAGCCTAATCCTGCCTGGGATGACTGCAGGTGGTCAGGTGGGTTTGAGTTGGATCTTGGCACAAGGAGAGGAATTTCATACACAGGTTGGATGCGTGTGCGTGTGCACATGTGCGTGTCTGTCTTACACAGGAGCATTTCTATGGTGGTTGTTGCCTGCACTTAGACCCAGAGTCTGGAAAGGCAGTGTTTCTCTGGCAGCTTCTGGGACAGGAGGTGGTGGCCCAGGAAGTAGAGGGCCACTCAGCTTTCAAGATGCGCTTTTTCACTGCTTCCTCTAGGAGCCTCAGCCTTACCCGGTCCACCCCTTGCTCTCTTCCTCTTCTGTAGCATCTGTTCGGTATCCTTGGAGGGCAGGAACCCTGTGGTCTTTTGCTCCCCACCCCCCAAGAGCTAGAGTTGGGCACTTTGGAAGCACATGAAAGTGTTTGCTGAACTGAGCTAAAATGGGAAGCGTCTCCTCTATTAGCAAACAAACTCAAGGGGTATCACTGGTTTTGGAGGAGCCTTCCGCTGGTGAACTCCTTGATGTGGGCCCTTGGTGAGGTGTTCTGGAATCCTGCATTGGTCACTAATAAGGTTGTATTGACCCTGCTATTCACAGTTCTCCACCACTAGTGTGACCTGCCCCCACTGGAGTCTCCCCACTACTGCCTGCTAGCCAGCTACCTTAGCAGGTTGCTTTAACCTCTCTGAGCCTCGCTTTCTTCATCTATAAAATGGGGATGTAATCATGTCCTTCTCAACAAGGTGGTTAGGAGTAATTATAATTATAATGTCTGTGAGATGCTTGGTATGTTAGTAACACAATAAATGGCAGCTAATATTTTAAATTTTTTCTCATCTCCAAAGACTAAAGGTGGGGCCTAAGTCCCTCCCCCCACAAACACACCTCCTCCAGGTGTCAGCCAGTCAAGGCTAAATGTCTTCATATTGCCTTTGAATGGGGAATTCAGCGCAAATGGCCAAATGTTGCAGGGAAGGGGGACACACGTGCAGCACAATCTCATCCAGATGGGTGAAGGAGGTAAGGGTAGAGGGGTGGTAGAGAGGGGAGGAAAGAGTTCTCACCCCCTAGGGGAGGTGCTGTTTGAGAGAAGATTTCAGAAGAAGTAGAGGAGGTGCTATCGCCTGCAGGGAGGGATGCCCTGGAGTTGGGAGAGAGAACTCTGCATAGTTGCCGCCCTGCAGGGAGGAGGTAATGAGGAATGGCAGCCAGAAGGTGGAGGGCCTGGAAATTTGTGTTGAATCTAAGAGTCTAAACTTCAATGTCTGTGAATCAGAGATTGCAAACTCAGTTCTTCTGCAAGCCAGGTGGGGATTTCTGTGAACCAGATAGTGGATGCCCTGCTTGGGATAAAGTGTGCTGGGCTTCTAGGGGCTCTGAAACCAGCTGCTCTGCACTACCTGAGGATTATGCCCACTGAGGAAGCCAAGCCAGGCCTCTGGCCACCCTATCTGACCACACAGTGACTGGGATTGGAACCCCAACTGTCTGGCACCAGAGACAGTAAAGCTTTAGTCACCTTGGGAGAGGAGAAAAATCCTTTTAGCTATAGCAGTTTTGACCAAATCTTGAGATTTTCATGTGGAAGTGACTAGGACTGTAAAGTTAGGGCTGAACAGTAGAGGGCCTTTTACATCTTCAGTGCCCAGAGAAGATGCAGAATGTCAGACTTGTACCATGGGCATCTGCCATCCTGACGCTGTGCAAGTAGAACTGATCAGGCTTCTGCATCTGAGGGGTCTGGAGCCTAAGCAGCCAGCACCTATATATGTTGAGCACCTATATGCAGGGTGCTGGAGGCTCTTAGGGATATGTGTATTAGACCCTTGCCTGAAACTGGCCTGCCCCTGTGAGACCATTGGACAGCAGTGAGTGACATCCAGGTTCCCTGCCCAGCTGGGTTAGACAGACCAAAGGTGGTGTAATTTAGAGGTGGGAGACGTTGCTGGGAGTTGAAGTAGTCCAGGAAGGCTTTCTGGGGGAGGTGGCAACTGAAATGGGTCTTGAAAAATATGCCAAATAACCCAATATGGTTCCCATGTAAAACAACAAATAATCTGAAGCAGGCTAAATAAGCAGCACCAGTAAATTGCTTAAATAGATTTGTTATAGCTATACAGTGTGATTTATGTTGCCATTAACAATGGTACCTGAAATTTTATCATATGTTTGAAAGAAGTCTGGCAAATTCTCATGTATAATATCATTTGGGAAAAAACCCAGGACCCCATTCTTTGTATACAAGATGCCAATTAGGGCCTCTCCTGGTGGTGCAGTGGTTGAGCGCTGGGCTGTGAAGCTGCCCTCAGCCTCTGCAGCGCAGGTTCGAGCCCCGGCCACCAGCGAGGGTCCCACATGGTGCGCAAACCTCTCCTGCCGCACCCACTGCTCCCCTCAGCAGTGTGTTTTGTCAGTCTGCCTGATCTGCTCCCCACTCTGGCCCTGGTGAATTCTCTCACCCTCCCGCTCTCCTGACAGTACCCAGTGCTTGTATAAATCAATAAATGTATAAAAAAATAAATAAATAAATCTTTAAAAAAAAAAACCCACCAAGATTCCAATTATGTTAGCATGTATGTACATAGAAAAAAATTAGAAGGAAATAAAACAAGATGTTAGAAAATACAATTTTGCATTTTCTAAATGTTCCATGATGACATATTATTCTTACAAGAGGAGTAGGTTTTAGGGAAGGGAATCACACGCCTCTCTGGAAGGTGGAAAGAATACATACTTCCCAACAACAGCTGTAAATGATGGGGTGGCTCCTTCTCCAAGTCCCTGGCCTTGGGAGTGAAACAGGCTTCCCTGGCTTCTTCCTTCTGCTGGCTCCTCTCCCTGCCTCCCTGTGCACAGGCCTTGGCCGGATCTGGCCTGGTGATATGGTTGCTCTGAAGCTGCAGTTGTGGCCCCAGAGTGGGCGAGCCCTGTGTAGAGCTCAGTTACAGGCAGGTTCTCACCTTACTCAGGCAGGTAACCCCGGTAAGCATCTCTCTCGCCCTCCACCCCCAGGCACTCAGTGGGGCACTGTGGAGCCAGCTTTGCACCTCCTGCAACCTGAGCTTTGGATCCCAGCCCTTGCCTCCCCACTCCAGGCCTCTTCACCCCATAAGGAGTGGGCTCCTTTCAATCTGGCCTGGGGTCTGCGCCTCAGTTTGAATTGAAGCACCATTCCTTCAATCCCTCACCCCTCCTAAAGATCATCTTCTAGACTCTTTCTATGAGTTTGTGGAGTCAGACTGACCACCTGTGACCCAGGTTGTCCTTTCCACCACCTCTCAGCTTGCTGTTTTTGTAACGTCTCATGCCCATCTAGGCCTCGCTGGCTCCTCATAACCCAGAGAGGCCTCTGTGTGAGCATGTCCTTCTCTGCCTGGCCTTGGACTGAGCTCATTTGGCCAGTGGCCCCTTAGGCCAGTCTGCTCTGTACCCACTCCTCTACCAGGGCCAGGCTCCCGGACTATGTGCTTTGGAGAGGATTTTAAAAATGATCATGACTGCACAAGTGGGATTGGCAAAGGCCTGGTGGGAAGGGAGGACCTGCTTAGCTGGGATGGAGGCACCCATAAAGATGGGAAGACCGGGGTGGGCTGGGAAGGGAAGGCGCCAGTGTTAGTCTGAGTGTCAGCTGCTGTGCTGCAGCCCAGGAATATTTGCTATTTATCTTCTTCCTTTTTGTGGTCTTTTGTATAACCATGTGTCACTTAATGACAGGAATGTTCTGAGAAATGGCATCATTAGGTGACTTCATCATGGTGAGAATGTCACAGAGTGTCATTACCCCAATGGGGGTGGTACAGCCTATTCCACACCCAGCCTGGCGGGTGTAGACCTCGGGACCAGTCATACACACGGTTGGTCGTTGACAGAAGCATCGTTGAGCGATGCATGACTGTACTTCCTGACTCTGAGGGCTCCTACCTATATATGTTTCCAGAGAGTTCCTAGTTGTTAGTTCCTGACTTGTTGCTCTGGTCCATCCCTTAATCTCTCACCTAGAATTCCTCTCCCGCCTTACCATTCCATGGTAGATTGGATGTTATTTTTATTCCATGCCTCCATTGCTCTTACATATTGTTTTTCTTTATCTCCCAGTTACATCCTGAGAAACCTCCTCAGCTCTGTCTTCTATTTCACTATTTGTGTTTAATATGCTCTTGAACTCATCGGCTAAGTTTCAATTTTTAAGGCCATATTTTTATTTTCAAAAGTTTTGTTTGATTCTTTTAAAAATCTGATTTTATATATTCTAGTTTCTCTTCAGATCCAGTATATTTTTGC